ATATAATAGAGAATTTAGTTTTGCACCGTTTGGCAAAACAAAAGGATCAGATAATGTATTTTCAAATGCGAAAGGTAGGTCGTTAATATAAAGATTAAAAAGCATTGGACTTAAGATACAGCCTTGCCGTACACCTCTCGCATAACGGAATGATCGCGTTTGTTTTTGGGCAATTTTAATTGAGCAGGAAGAGTTGTGATATAAGCTTTTAATTAAGTTATAAAAAGAACCACCAACATCAATTTGCAGCAGCTTATTCAAGAGCCCGTCATGCTAGACCGAGTCAAAAGCTTTTTTGAAATCTACAAAACAAGCGTAGATCTTTTCGTTGTGATTATGAATGTACTTATCTATAAATAAGTGCATCGCGGCCAGACTTAATTGACAGCTAGTCATTCACAGTTGCTTTATTTTTGTTATCTTTTTAACTAGTAGCCGGGATGAGGAAAACAATGGCTTCCTTGCAGGCCCTTCCCCTCCTCCCTCCTCCCTCGCGACCTTTTTTCTGCTGAGCAGAATTTTCACAGTCCTTAAGTTATCCATTTATCAAAAAGTAATTACAACAAGCCCCAGCATCAAAATATCAAAAATGATAGCCTTAGTGATCATTTTCGGCCACAATTTCCAGTCACATTCCTTACAAAACAAGCAGAGTTTCCCTTGGGTCCTAATAACAGCGTCGAATTCAGAAAAACTCACCTCTCAACCTTTGGCCACTTGATCTGTTTACAGTTAGTTCAATTCAACACTAATTATGCGCAATTGTTTGCATGGCCTCTGATCCACATTTGCATATGAACTCTACATGCGGACAAAGCTTTTGGGACAACCTTGCAGTTTTCGGCATAAAACCGGGGAAAATGCGTAGAATTGTTAAGCGACTTCTCTTCCCATAAAAAATGCACATAAATGTTTATTTTTAACTTGTAATAAAACAATAGATGGTTTACGTTCTGAGAAATGATCAATTTAATCACGCCTTAAGTGATAAATGCTCATGTAATAAATAAAACCAATACCGTTTAGAAAGATGCCGTTTTAAAAACTGTATTGAAAAACGATTACAAAGACTTCGTTACAGACGATCTAAAATAAAGTGGGATATTCTAAAGTTGTAGTTTTCGGCATAAAACAGGGGGAAATGCGTAGAAATTGCTGAGCGACAGTCTCTTCCTATAAAAAATGCACTTAAATGTTTATTTTTTACCACGTCAAATTTACAAATGTCAGGTTTTCGGGAAAAGTCATCAAATTTTGCCGGTTTAACACCAACAAAATTCTACACGAAAATAGCTCCTGTTGGATGGTTGGAGGTCTCATAAAATTTTCTGCGACCTCCCTATTCATGTAAACATTTATTAAATTAGGGCGCAGAAATTTCTTAGACTACGAGTAGTCCCCCATTTTTCCTCGGGGATAGTCGAGCGAACAAAACGAGAGCGTACGTGAAAATCACCCCACGCGAGACAGGTGATGACAAAGCCCAAGCTTTTGAAGTTATGCGTTGTTCTCACAACGCAAAACTCTGATTGGCTCTTCCATGGAAATCTGTCAACATCTGTGAAAAACGCGCCAGCCGCTATCAACATTCAACATAATAACAAGTTACAGAACAAATAACAGCACAGAAAAAATAACTAGAGTTGCTGTTGTAGAAGCAACTAAGAAGAAAGCCAACCCAGCAACTGATGAGGTTCGCGTGGAGAACCGAAACCATGCTCTTGCCTGATCACAAAGTGGCAACAACAGAATAGTCGCAAGGCTGTTAAGCTTATTCAAAAGTTGTCACCAAGGGAGGAACTACGCGCTCCAGTCCAAAGACTCACATAATCTCCAGAAAAAACAAGCGGCAGTTAAAATTCATGAGCAGTCATGAAGTCACATCGCAGTTCTCCATAGTTGATGTAGTTTTAGTTTAAGCTGCAATCCATTCTTCGAGATTTGGATATCACTATCCGTCCTGCTAAAAACGCTAACGAGCTGAGCCAGCGTGACAAAACATTACAGGAAACCGTCACATTCACGGCCAAAAAGAAAATCGCTTAAAATTATTCAGATCCAGGAGGCAATCGCCGGAGAAATTAAACGACCGAAAAACTTTATTTAGCCTAATTGAAGAGCTTTACCTTTCAAAAGAGGTCAAAGAAAATGCTCTTGCATCAGAGGGCAAATCATGCCGACCATAAGCAATAACCACAGAAAATTAATATGCGTGTCACGACCCCTCAGTATGAAATACACTCTTTTTTTTTATAAGAATATATTTTATAAGAATATCGAGGCTGAAATTTGCGAAATTTTAAGAATATTTTAAGAATACAGCCGAGGCTAAGATTTTGAAAAGGATAGATATAATATTGTGTTGAAACATCTGTAAATACAATACAACTTTATGTTTTTAACTTAACCGTATAAAATTATTCCTTTCTCTGAACGGCGAACAACCAAAAGCCAAAACGGCCAAGTGTCGTTTGACGTGACATCTTGACCTCGCTGACGGCAACGAAAAGCGATGGAGCACGTGCACAATGTAACGCGATACAGATCTAGATACCAAACACTTGTAATTGATACCCCCAATGAATTCTAAAACGGGAATGTCATAAGCTATAATTTAAGAATAATACAAGAATATTTTCAGCCTAAAATCGGCAGAAAAATAAGAATATTCAGCCTGGGCCGGAAAAACAACATTCTTATATATAAAAAAGAGTGTAAGCGGCAAAAATCACATTTGCTCAGTCAAAACGTTTTCCTCCAGAGCATAATCTACCCGGCAGAGAAAAAAAATCATTGGAGCAAGCAGCATTTTGTCATGAGTAAAAGTCGTGTGTTGCCTACACTACCAATTACTTCACGCGAAACAGCCGTGAAGAAAATTAGTATCTGGGGCATCGTCCACACGTATCCGGAAATTTGTGAAAACCCAAATTTTTTTTACGAATACGGCTAGCGTCCACACGTATCCAACGTATTTTCGCCGGCATAGGCCTTTAAAAACTTTTGCGAGAGGTCTCGCCTGTAAAAAAATAGGCTATGCTTATGCATATGCACACCTGCCAGCATAGGCCTTTAAAAGCTTATGCGAAAGCAGTAAGAGAACCTAGGTCTCTTCACGGCGAGCATTATAAACAAACATGGCGTACAGCAAGGTTGTAGCTTCTTTGTTAGTTGCTCTGATTTCTAGTTTGATATCATGCGTTCAGAAGAATGCAGCTGTGATAAATTTACACAGCCAATACATCAGAGATCGACAGGATGTTTTGAGATTGTTATCAATGAACAGTGGGCGTCATAAAGTCAAAAAAAAGAGCGAGCCATCACCGAAGGTGATTCTGGACGCGACCTTAACTCATCCTTCTTGTGTGGAAAATCTTTGCCAATAGCAGCAGCATCCTCTGGCGAGGGATAATGAGCACTGTACGCTTCGAGAATCTCGCCATACTTGTCAACACAAAATTCCCAGTCGATGCTTTTGGCGATTTGCTTCGTTTTGTATTCTTTCGTGACCGTCAGCAGTAGTTCAACTTCATCATCGGTCCATTTACATGTATCAGCATACTTTTTCTTGACTTTTTCAGTAGATTTAGACATTTTTTCGAGTAATAAACTACAAGCTTCGACTGTTTAGCTATGGCGTGAAAGAAATGGCGCCTAAATCGCAATTATGCGCATGCTCATTTCAGGATTCTCTCCGGCAAAAGAACTGGGTACTAGAGCAAATCAGAAAATTTCCGGATACAATCGGATACGTGTGGACGGCTGAAAACCATTCGAATACGCAGCGTGTGGACGCGAAAATTTTCGCATCCGCAAAAAATATTTGCGGGAAAAAAAATTCCGGATACGTGTGGACATGGCCTGGGTTTTCTTTTACTTGTAATAAATATCCCCCGATGACAAGAGCAATGACAGTTCAATGAGGAGAGGAATCCCATTGGATGTTCTTAATTGATTTGGAAGGAAATACGAACTTCACACTCCAAAATCGGTCGGCCGTGAAGGGTCAAAAGCTTGGGCTTTGTCTGTAGTCCCTCATTTTTCTCTCTCCCGCCGCGTGTCGCCTTCTCTCGCGTGGGGTGATTTTCACGCGCGCTCGCAGTAAAATTTCTGTCCCGTAATTTAATCAGCTAAATCATCAAAGTTGACAGATCTTTCTAATGATCAAAGCGACCGTTTGGTTTACCATTTACACCTTCAGTGCGAAGACTGTCACGAGAAAATTAACACCTTCAGGATAACTGCTTACCATAACAGTGGTAGGTCGTGCGTGTCTGGTCGGTTTCGAAGAACGTGATCATGACTGTTTTTTTCATTTAGTGGCTGTGCGCGTTGATATACCGACGTTTAAACCAAACTACAACTTTAAAATTTTTGGTATAAAAGCAAAGAGGCCGCTGAGTAGGAAATAAACCGTCCCAGAGTTATTCCGTTTCATTCGTGTACTTTCATTTTGATGGGGCCCATGGTGAATTTATTTCTTTCTTCTAATCAGGCACGTAAACAACATAGAGATAAAACATTTCATTTTGCTTTTGTGGAGCAAATTCTTCTTTAAAAAGTCAAACTGGTGAACCACCTTCTTTGCGTACTTGTAAAAATGAGCATTTAATATATATGTCGCGCTACAGTGCGAAAATCTTCTTGCCGTGTATTAGATTTCAGTATACATATTGTATCTTCATTTCGCGCCAGAATAAATTAATTTGCACGCAAAGGACTTCTTAAAAAAAATCAGAAGGTTTGTACCAATTCGAGTTCACCTTCTGGAGATACGCCGGCATGGTAGCTGGAATACATTGCCGAGCCGAAGATCTGGCATTTTTTCCTCCTCGTCGTTTTTCCCCACAACATTAATTTGTTTATATTTGTAGTGAGAATGCAGGGCATATCGGTGGATTTTACTTCAGTCATGCGGCTTCAGTTCGTGCAGCTTGCTACTTATGAAAAAAGCTGGATTCCCTTTGTTCGCCTTTAACAAATTTGTTGTCGAATGCAAGGTAAAAGAATCGAATACTGTAAGGTAAGAGTTGAAGTTTTAAATTTGTTTCTCGGCGAGGAATTGTGCATACAACTCGTGAAACCCGTGAGTATTTACCCGGGGAGTACGTATTACCTCTGTTTAATATACCTAAATGATCCCTTGATGACCGTAATGTCCTTGATTGATGGTAAAATTTTAAAATATCTTCAAGATAACGGGGACCGGAGTCATTCAATGTCTTAAAAGTTATTACTGAAATTTATTTTAAAAACAATTCTCTCCTCAACCGGAAGCCAGTGAAGATCTCTTAGAGTCTCGATGATGTGATCTCGTTTTTTGAGACCGGCTATAATTCGAGTAGTCGTATTTTGAACGGACTGCAACCTAACTATGTCCCGTTTGTCACAGCAGGTTTATTAGCGACTATTTTATGGGTCGGCAAAACAAGAAAACCACAGAAAACCAAAGGTGACGGTTAACGGTGATTTAATTCCAAATTCCAAAGACCAAAATCTATAGACCAAAGATTGACCGTAAACTGAAATAACAATACAAAAATCTCTATCAATTTGGCGAAAGGGGGATACTAACACAAATAACGCGTAATTAACAACTAAAGCTTGAAACGGTAATAAAGTGATTCTATAACTATTAGCTCGATAACAAGACGGTAAAGTCTACTAAAAGGCTACATAAACTGAAATTAGACAATAATTTCATAAATCTGATCTTAATCCTTGTACTATATAAAGCAAAAGTATGGCCTTGCTCTAACAGGCGTTCAAACCCGCTTTTCGCTCATAAAACAATTATAAATCAATTAAGCTTAAATCTGTATACTTGTACAGTAACATTCGTGTACCTTTGCCCACCGGCTAAAGAACGAAACCAAAAAATATAACAAAAGAAATCATTTACATATCGGTCCCGCTTGTACCAAAGGTTAAGACAAAATCACAAAAACGATGTTACAACGCGAATCCTACTTCACTTTTCCTGACCAAAAGAACGCTAACGCGCGCTTTTATATCCGCGTGGGGACGCCGAAATATCTCATCACAAAACCAATAGAAAATCAGGTAAACAATTTAACTACGCTAGTAACTTGGATGAAAGCATGAAAATCACGAAATCAATGAAAAGTACTGTTCTTTATGTCTTGTCCTTTACATGGCCCTGAAATAATCATATTATTTCACTAAATCAACTAAATAAACAACTTAATGTTCATATAATCATGTTTTCTTTTCAAAGTTCAGTTGAATGTGCAAGGCTTCTCGGCGGGGAATTACCCGGGATCTCACTTAGCTTTCAACTTGCATTAGCGGTACTACTGAGCCTGTGGATCGGTCGGTCAAAGTGCCGTAACTGACCAGTTCTCTTTCCCTTGGAATCGAGGCAGCTATCCGCAAGAGCTACCTGGGCTTTACGTACTTGCCCATCAGCACTAGGGTAAACAGCTGATAGACGTGCTAACGGCCAAGCATTACGAGGGAGGCTCTCTTGCTTCATGATTACAACATCATCTACTTGTAAATCTCTGCTTGGGCGTGTCCACTTCCGACGTTCTTGCAACTAACCAGGAACTCTTTTCTCCAGCGTGACCAAAACTCGTTCGCTAAATGTTGGACTCGCCTCCATTGACGCTTTCTGCAATATACATCTGTACGTCTTCATCGCTGGCAGCTGGTTCGGGATCAAAGGACTTGACGAATCTGGGTCTGAAATCTGCTTTACTGTCAAGGGACGGCTGTTAACAATCGTTTCTGCTTCACACACGGAGTCCTAAAGAGACTCGTTGTCTCATTGTCGCCCGTTATTGTTTAACAGCCATGAAAGAACGCTCCGAACGGTTCTTATTTGGCGTTCCCACACACCTCCCATGTGACTCGCTGCTGGGACATTCATTTTGAAGGAAAACTAATCGCACTGCTCTTCTAATAGCTTTGCTTTAATTCTTTCTTGGTCCATTTCACTTAATGCTTGTGCAAGTTCTTTACGAGCTCCTACAAAGTTGGTTCTTTGGCCACTTCTTAGCTGGCGGACGGGACCTCGCCGACTTATAAATCGTCTAAGGGCGTTGATAAATGAATCTGTGTCGAGGGAGTTAGATGTTTCAAGATGTATAGCCCTCGAAGCCATACAAGTGAACAAAACACCATAACGCTTAAGCTCCTTCAGGTCATCTTTAACGATAAAGGGACCAAAATAGTCGATGGCGCAGTAGGTAAAGGGAGTGGGAGTCTCTAAACGGTCTTCTGGGAGGTCTGACATTCTTTGTTCTTGAACTGCTCCAAGTAGTTTCTTGCACTTGACACAGGACTAGATTATGCTACTGACTACAACTGTACCACTTATTATCCAAAATCCATTCGATCGTACTTCATTGAGCGTCATGGTCTTGCCTTGGTGACTTGTGCGTTCGTGAAAGTACCTGACAATGAACGTGGTAACGTGACTATTTCATGGTAGTATGATGAGAAACTTCACGTCATCTGACAGACTTGCACATCTGAGACCTTCACCGACTCGCAAAATTCCTTCTTCATCAACAAAAGGATCGAGCTTGTACAGTGAGCTGTAAGTCTTTATATTAGTTTTCCTCTGTTACGCAGACTCTACTGTTAGGGTCCGGATTCTTCCGCTTTATCTGCTTCAAGACGTCTAACTCCTCCGTAAATGCGCTCGTCTGTACTGCACGAATGATAGCGCGTTCTGCGCTCTCTAAATCAATGACTTTTACTTCTCGTGGCAATTCTTCTTTACATTGCTTCTTCTGTACTCGCGCTCTTAAACTTCTTACGTAGCGTGTACACAGAGCAATTGCTCGTTTGCCGCGATACCAGTCAGAGAAGTACTTCACTCTCCCACACAGGCTTGTTTTCTCTGAATCTACTTTGACGATTTGTGTGGTTCCCATAGTAACATGTTTCTTGACTTCGGGGTCGTCATTCTGGAGATCAAAGGTACCTTCACTGTGATCCCGGTTTATTGGCCACTGGTCTTCAGTCTTCCAAAGAAAGGCAGGTCCGTTGATCCAAGCTCTTACATTGTTGAGAACTCTGAAATGTGGAGCGCTTCGGAGTAGACGTCCCAAGACAAAACTAAGCTGCACCTTCCACTGTTCAACTGAAGTGCTATTTTGAATTTCTTGAACTCTGTTAGCCACGAAGACATGAAATCGCCTACTTTCATTGATTATGTATCCAAGGACCACTTTGCTCTCTGTCCAAAAGTACTCTAGGTCAATGTGATAACTAAGTTCTAGACGCAACTGCTGGCTAATCCTCACAGAACTAACAGCCGGGGTGAGTTCCAGTCTCGGTACGGTTACAGGTTTGATGGGGGCAACTCTCTCAGAAGGATTTGATTGGCTTGAATCGACAGAACTAGCAATCGATAAGCGAAAATTCTTACGCAATCGACTGTATGAAAAGCAGCCCAATTCACAAGATGAAGACAAGACCTACTGGAATGTTAGGGATTTTTTTTTTCTGGACCTTTGTGTTGTTACGTTTCAATAAAAAAAACCGTAAACAACCAAACTTTAAGTGCGTTTTATTAATTACTTCACAATCTTTTCAACCTTTTGCCTATACAGGATAGTACT